GCGTCGGGAGCCCAGGCGGACGAGCCGCTGGGGTCGCGGCTGCAATGCAAGCTGCCTGGGAACCCGGGAGCACCGCGGGAAGAAGGAGGCATGGCTTCGGTGTTCATGTGTGGAGTGGAGGACCTGCTGTTCAGCGGCAGCCGCTTCGTGTGGAACTTGACCGTGTCCACGCTGCGGAGATGGTACACGGAGAGGCTGCGGGCTTGCCACCAGGTGCTGCGGACGTGGTGCGGACTGCGGGACGTGTACCAGGTGAGCCCCGGCGCGCCGAGCCGGAGGGCCCTTGTCAGATGCCCGGCGCTCGTGGGAAACCCGTTCCACCTGTATGATTTTATTCTCTCTCTTCCCCACCTCTCTTTCTAAACTCCTAGCAGGCTACTTGGCCCTTAGGTCAAATGCTCAACGGTTCTAGGTAACTGTTGCCTGCTACAGCTTGCGAATTTTAAATCAGGCACGCGGGCACTTGCTGAGACTTTACCCCGGCATTTGCATGCATCGGTTTGAGACTGACGGTGTGCTGGCTGGACTTGGCTAGCAGGGCTGTAGCTTTGCAGCAGAGGGTCTGCAGGAAGCAACTTTGACATTCAGATGAGTCCTTCTTGACCCCATTGGGATGAGGGCTGGCCATTTCATCAAAAGCATGGGTTTCACAGCCGTGCACTGTCTGAGGGGGTCTTAGTGGATTTGCATTCCTTCATTTGATTTTATTTCCATTTTCCATCAGGCAGCCCCAACTTGCAAGGGAGAGCCAGGAAAAGCTGATCCTGGGTCTACTGGCTTTACGAAAAAGGACAGCAAATTGAGAACACCGGGGCAGGAGGATGACGGGCCGGGAAGGGAGGGGTGGCCTGGCTCAAGACCCGCGTGCTTACGTTTGGATGTGCTCCCTGTCACACAACACAGCCTCTGTATTCCTCTGCCGAGTCCCTTCCTGCAGGCAAAAAATGCAGCAACTTTGTTCAACTAGGAGGCCGTTCGTTCATCCTCTCTGAGACTGCAGCTTGCCTGGATTCTTTTCTCTAACAGTAATTTATGGATTTAAAAGTCCTGTGCTTTGGTTATTAGTTTTCATTGAAGTTGCAAATAATCTGCATTGTTAAATCATACCTGGTGTTTACCAGGGCAACATGCTTTCGTATTTTTCTTTCCTATGGTATGGAGCAGCTTTGTTGTACAGTTCCTGGACTGTCCCCTCCCCCCCAACTTCATTCCCAATATGGCTGTAATTTATGCCTCATTATAATGTGCCCTGGATGTGTTCAAGTGCCTGGTTTTGGCAAGCCATAGTCTTCCATCAGTCAGACAAAATGAAAAGGCAAGCCCCTGGGGTTAGACTCTGGAAGTCTGAAGAAGCAATGTCCCTCGTCATCCCTGTTAAAAATATGAGGGACATTTGAACTTGTGTTTTCACGGCTGCCGTTTTGTATAGCCTATCTGGGATATGTCGCATTGTGAAGTGGAATCTGAAAGCCAGATTGAGAACCAGGGCAGCATGTGGGACTTTGAGAGTATTAGGGCACCGAGGAAACAGCCCATCTGGCCACATTACCCAGCTCCCTTTCAGCTGTGTGGAGCCAGAGGTGTGTCTGTCATTTAACTTTCCTTTCTCTTGAGAAATCCCTCTTCTGTTGGGTCTATAGAATAAGTGTCCCTTGAGTAGTTTGGAAATTTTCCTTTTAATGTTTGAAAAACTTTCAAAAAGAGAACACTAATATTGTAGCCAATGAAACAGGCTCTGTGTCTTACTCCCTACGGATTCAGGGGATTTGTGGCTTATCTCTAATAAACGTTATGGACCGATTCAAAATGAAAGTTCCACAAATCTGAGATTCTGCAGGTTCTGCATAAGGTTGATCGATACTTGTTTAAAAGCAGAGCAGTGATTGAGAGATTAAGCCACTAAAAGATTTTTTTTTTCCCTTTTGTAAAATGGATGGTGACTGAGCCGGTACCCAATCATAGTAAGAAAACACATACAAAATGATGATGGCCTTTAAGAGTCTTTAGTCATAAGCAAAAGAAAATGATCTTTAAGTTCAAAGTTTCCTGTTTCTTTAGGGAAATAAAACTTTTAAAAAAAAAAAATGAGGAGCCAGCCTTGGTGCCCAAGTGGTAGCATATTGAACTGCAGTGTTGGAAGCCACATGGTCAGACCTGAGTTCGGATCCTTAAATCAACATGAAAGACGCCAGGCACGCATGCCCAAGACCCTTCCTAGCTGGAGTGCTGGAGGAAGGAGATCATGGCAAGATGAGACCTCTCAAGGGTGTCCATCTTGCTATTTATGCTTCTTTCTCTGTCTCTCTCTCAAAAGTAAACTTTGAACAAAACATGTTTTCAGCCTTAGGAGAGCCATGATACTCTTAATTATGCAACATATTTAATTGTTTGCAAAGAAAGGTAATTTTCTTAAGGCTTTTCAAATGTTGAGCAAGGAAGTAATGACAAATTATATAGAACTGAAAGTGATTAATACCTTAGGGGCCAGTTAAATAGACAAGGAAGCAAATCTAACATCTGCCTGTATATGACCATGGTCAAATTAATCTTGCTCTGTTTCAGTTTCATTTATAAAATGGAAAATATAGAATACTAATCACAGAGGCTGAACAGAGGATTAGTGTGTGAGATATTGATCACACTGCCTAGGACTTAGGTTTTATATAAATGTTCTCTGTTCTGTCAGGATATTTTTATTATAATCAAGGAAACCCAACTCTAACCTGCAAAATGACTTTTGACATAACTGAAAAGTCTAGCAGTAGCATGAACTTCAGGTATGGCTTGATCAGGGCACTGTACTAATTTCTCATCATTCTTTTAGTCCTGGTCTTACTCATTGGTTGGCTTTATCCTCAGCTTGTTTCTTCCCTCATGAGAGCAGTGGCTACAAGTCTGACATCCACATATCAACCCATTCAGAAAGTCATAAAATTTCTTATACCCACCAACTATCAAAAAAAGAAAAAAGAAAAGAAAAGAAAAGGTACCAGGTGGGAAGGCTCTGGGTTCATGTCCTGGGTTTACCTGGACACACTAGATGTGCCTGTGGTCCTGACTGACTGCAGGGCTGGTGAGAGGGCCACAGCTTGAAGACCCTGTCAAGAGTATCCCCTCTCTCTCAATAAATAAATAAGCTTTTAAAAAGAGAGAAGAGAAAAAAGTCTCAGTTTTCACTCGGAGAGTCCAATTTGGGGTTTGCATACACCCCTCATGCATGTACTGTCTTGCACAGGGAATGGCAGTGCAATTTACATATTCTCAGTGAGAGTGATATGGCCTACAGGGGGCAAACATTGCTTTGAGTGGGAAGGGTTGGCAAAGATACTTCCTCCTTTTGTGTGTAAAGCACAGATACACCTGCAATACATGAACAGATATACAGTGTATCTGTGGCATGAAAATGGGGCCATGACTAGAAAACAAACTAACAAACAAAATACCTATAAAGATCTTTAAGGAGGGGGCCAGCAGGTTGCATAGTGATTAAGGCACTGGACTCACATGGCTGATCACGGTTCAAGTCCTGGACCCGGTGGCTTGCTTTCTCATTCTCCCCCTCTCTCATTCTCTCTCTGGTCACATTAAGAAATAATAATAACTTAAATTAAATAAATAATTATTTTTTAAAGTCCTTAAGGAGGTAATAATATAATCAATTAAAAATGTGAGACACACTGGATTATATTCATTGGCTTGGGCTAGTGGGGAAACCAAGCCATTTCTGAAACTGGGAGTGAGATTGGCCCCACCTAGAACCCGTGTCTGCCAAACAGTGAAGAAAGGTAAAAATGCAACCAACAATGCCGAGTGCATTATTAGCATCCTAAATCTAGTGCTCTAAATAAAAATAATTCATCATTTTTCAAGGTAAAGTGCAAAGATCAACACACACACATCTTCATAAATGTTTTTCCACAGTGATTTGAGTTAAGGATGTAGGGTTCATTATTAGAATACCCGCACTGCTACCCCATCATGATAAAGTCCAAGCCACAGAAGAGATTTTTCTACTGTACTGCCCAGCTTTCTGGCATACGAACTGCAACCCATACATTCCCTAAGATGTGTAACTCATATTTTATGGAACTCAATTTTTTTTATCAACTTGTTGATAAAAAGGTGTCATTTTTCTTGCTCCTAAGTCTGAATAGTCTTATTTATAAGGAAATCTAAACTTTAATCATGCTAGAGAGAAATAAGGGTGGGGTGGGAGATATCTATTACATGACATTCCTGGCAATCCCCTGGGAGTGCTATGTTTATTCATATACTATAAGTGAAATAAGATCTCCCACCTATTCATAACGTGTTTGGCAACTACATTATTGCCTGGCTAGCAAAGCCAGGAAGGTGTAATTTCTTTGGAATTGAACACTTCCTCCACTTCTACATGTTGGAGAGGTAAGTGACTTAATTTGCCAACAAACCATGAATAATTAAGATACTAGCTATAAGGCATCTCTGTAGTCATTCAACTAAATAAAAAGGAGGCCAAAGTGGCATTGAGGCTCCCTTTTAACAAAGACTGACTTTATGGGTGAAGACTTGAGTTTGCTTAGAGTAGCAGACATGAGCATTCACCTTCGATTTGGGATAAATTCTAAAAGCTGATTCATCAGCCATGAAACTATCCTGCTTATTTCTTGCCCGGATAGGGTGTATTATTGCAATGAATTAGATTTAACAAACACTTGAAGTGGAAAGTAATGGCAAATTGTTGTTGAAAAAGATTAACACCCTTTTTTTTTTTTTAAATGAAATATGACCAAGTCCTAACGAAACCCTCAGTTTATTTCCTGAGGTTAGATTTTCCCATTCTCTCCAATGTCACAAAGGTGGAATTTTTTTGCAAACCCTGAAGTAAGCCATTGCCTCCAACAGGAAGCAACTTGAACAGAATGTGGGATATTCAAGTAACCATAAAAAGCTGGGGCAGCTCCCCTGAGACGGGCAGCTGGCACTGAGGGGTAGCATACAGTGCAGAACACCACAGTCTGAAGGTTCAGCTTGAGCACACGTGACCTTGAGCCAATTGCTTCCCCTCTCTGAGCCTCATTTCTTCCTGGTTAAGAAGGGACAACAGTAGTAGCTGCATTATGGGATTGGGCAAGAAATTCTCAAGATAATATATAAGACACTTGGCACTGTGCCCAGCACAAGCAAATGCTCAATTAACTTAACTCTTGGTTATGTGTAGACTTGGAAAAAGGACTTGATAAAGGGGTAGCTAAAGGTATTACTGTTGCTTT